TTGTGAATTGTGATTTTCCTGTGAACTTCTGCCTGTTTTGTCTCCGATATGGTCATGTTATTCGTGTGCCCGCTAGTGGGAGGTTTATAAACGCTAGCACATGTCGACATGTTATTGATAGAACCGGTTCGTTCAGTGACCCTGCTAGTGGGGGTTAAACACTAGTAATTTCTGTAGTCCGCCAGTGGGAGGTTTATAACACTGGCCGTGACCTATAGAGGAGACGTCTATTTCGTGCCCGTACTGTATCCGTTTTTCGTGATTGCACTTGTTGGCATGCTGTAAATTTAATTAAGGGCAATTCATATTTTACTTACTGAGTTATCTCACCTCGTTTTTCTCGTCCACCATTTCAGGTAGTGTGCCCCGAGACTCGGAAATCAAGGGGAGTGACGTGATAAAAGGCTAGCCACTTAAGATTTAACATAGATTTAGATACATGTACTCCATGCTCTTGTAAGTTAGATTTTAATTGGAAATTTTAGGGTATCAAAACTGATTTTGTTTAGTAAGTTCCGAGCCTTGTGCATTTGTGGGACCCGTCTCACGAGTGCACGGCGTCTGCCGCGCCCCCGATTTGGGTTTTGGGGCGTGACATAAGCAAAGATTTTATTTGTAAGCAATTTAATAGATATAATTCTGCGTTTACTGAGCTTAACATACCAACTACTTATTAGTTAGCAATAGTTTGAGTTAGGTTTCGAAAATTCTTAAGAAATTTGGTATTAGAGCCAAAGAATATTGTTTTTAAGAATGGAATTAAAAAAGTTAGTAAGATTTTATGATCAGCAGATTGATATTATAATAAAAATTATAGAAAAAGAAGAAATGATACGCTATAAAATTGATGAGTTACTATAGGACAGATATGTTTATAAAGTTTGTAGAGCGTCGGCTCTAGAAAAATTAAAAAATTTAGCAAAATAAGAATAAAAGTTGTTTTTACAACAAACACAAATTCAAGAACTAAAAACAAATATAGCTGGAGGACTAATTGTTCTCTTATAGAATAGTAAGATTTCCATTAAAGATAATGGATTAGATGAAATTGAAATGAATCTAAAAAATAATAGACAAGATTGGAAGAATCCAAAGATGATAGATGAAATTGAAAAAAATATGAAAGTTAATAAATAATTTGTTAAATTAAGTCTTTGTAGCTTGCTCGAAAGTCCTAAAAAAACTGTTTTTAACTAAATCAACTAAACTTTTTTAATGCCTTAATGGTGACAAATTGTGGATAGCTACGTATGCCTTCAAATTAATCAATATTCTAATGTTTGGTTTTTTAAAATATTATTAGCATTGTCCCCGGCATGGTGGGTCAATTTTGACTCAAAAGAAAAAGAAAAAAAAGGCAAGGGATAGTAGGTCAATTGATTAAGTTATTTTTTTTCCCAACCTTTGTGGCTGCGTTTGATTCCTCAATCTCTCGCGGTGAGGGCCTTACCCCGAACTTTTTTTTTTTTCGATAAGTAAAAGAAATTTAGTAATATTATGAAGTATAAAGATTACTCCAAACCCATTACTCTCACTCTCAAAATTATATTCGTTTAAACAAAATAATTTATTATTGATTCCTGCAATTTTGATTAGCTTAATTTTTCTCAAATAAATTAAAGATAATAAATAATTAATAAAATTTGATATTTACCTGTATAGCTTGGCGATCAAAATTTAATGCTTTACTCTTGACCTAGAAGTCTCAATCACAATGGCAGAGCTAGAAATTTTAGTCAAG